CCTGCGGGGGACTCTGCAAAAAACGCATCTTCGCACGGGCAGCCCGTGCGTTGGCCATTTATTTTAAAATTTTTTTGTACATTATGTTTTTGTGCAGTGTCTTTAACACTTACTAGAATTTAGGGAACACCGACCGCTGGTTTGTGTGCCTATGTAATTAATCTTATTGAAATTCATGCAAGCTAGAGGATGAAACAGAAGCAAATATCCCTACATATTCTCAGCACCTGTGATGTCAACATGTCACATTGTTTATAAAACATGTTCCTTATACACTATCTCCCAATTTCTCTTCCCCTTCTCCCTCGCCCCCTCCCCCGTGCCCCATGTGCATTAGCTTATTCCACATGAAATATTAAACTCGAATCTTCCCATTCCATTCTATCTTGAATAGATAAAATTTTTTCGAAGTCTTCCGCGTGTTCGTTTACTTCCTGGTGGGTGTCATTCGTTGTTTTGTAATGTCCATTTGTTGTCGGCAGGGCAAACATATCTTGCCTATTGGTCTTTACTAATATTTAACATGGCCATGATAAGGAAAAGATGATTACTAATATATACCTCATGCATTTTTCTCATCTTTGATTCGTCATATTTAAGCATGTTTTGTAAATATTTGTTATGTATTTATTTCTATACCAAGGAGTCAGATCCGCCATTAGCTTGCTTCTAAGCAACCTTCAAAAGAGGGCCCCTACCAGCGGCCTTGCCAGCAGGTGATTGTTGTTGGTATTTGCTACCATTCGGAATAGTCACCGAGTGTCTCCGCCTGTTCTAAAGAAAGGATATCGGGAAGGACTTTGTTTTTTGATTTTATATTTATACCTTGGTGTTCCCAATATATCAGAAGTTTTTGAAGTAACAGGAAGATGTGAGAGGAGTTTTTTTTTTTTTGATAGAATAGCCATGATTTCATGCTTTTCATAGAACATATTTTTCAGGGTCCATGTTGCCCGGACCGATACTTTTGTCGTCTGCGGCTTGTTGATATCGGTGGTATTGATATTCGGCCGCTGTTTGATGTTCTGGAAATACATCCAATGTAATTTTCTTTAACACTCCGTTCGGTTAATTTCACAGAAGTCTTACTTACAGTCATCAATTAACATATCTAGCAATATTTTTTGTTTTCGGTCCTCGTTTTAGCTATTAAGTGCGTGGGTGATTGCTGGTGATTGCTCGCTACCACTAGAATATTTCCGAGCACCCTATCACTGCTGAAAAGCCACTCGCATTTAATCATTTGTCATGTCCGCGTGCATGGAATTTCGCCTCCAAGTTGATTTAAGACTATACATGAATGTAGAATATAACTTCGTAAAATTCCTGCTACACAGCTTGTCGGATAAGCTAAATAGCCACTTCACCACATTACTTCACCTCACAACATTTGATGAAATTGCTGATGGACATAGTGTATGTCAAGTAGCGCGGTGGTTTAACTTCGCCAGCAAAAAACAGCCAAGCCCTCTACAAAGCAGTCATTCATTTTGACAATAGATTGATACTGACGTATATTATGGTGGACGGGAAAAGGGGGGGGGGAGGATGCGAGGGGTCATTAACTTGCTTCTAAGCAACGTGGGAATATTTGACAGCTTTGTCAACAGATTGCTGCTTTTGGCATATGCCACCACTCTGGCTCTTATTGAATGCTGTCTTTTTTGGTGAATTTTGGTGAAATTTTGGATTTTTTTCTCGAGAAAATCAAATTTTGCTTTTTGCAGGCATTGTCTTCGTCCACGGTTCTGTTTGCAGTTCTCTTTGCATGGTTTGAAACCAGCAGCTGATGGGAGATGGTCGGATGGAGCTATGCATTTTTTTTATATTGAACTTCCTCAGGATTTCCCGGTTGTGCTGAATGTACTCGGTCATGGCAGAATGTAAGTACTGATTTAGTTTTTCATAAAGTTTTGGTAATTTTTACAAATAACTAAGCCGATAAGACAAAGTCGAAACTCTTTCACCTTGTAAGAAGCGTTGGTTTCGGAATAGCCCGAGTGATAGCACTCTCCCAGCTAAGTGAAGGCAGGACGATAGTCCATGGCTTTCTTTTCTAAAAGTTGCTTGGAACATATTTTAATCAGAATTATCTGATTTTACGGATCTGCGATTCTCGTTTTGCGCGTCCTTAATCTTCTCCTTTCCCCTCCCTCACCTTCCCCGTTTCTTATTTCGCAACACTTCTGTTATCTTTTTCCTCCCGGTGGACAGTAGTTTCCTTCTCCCACCTGTTGTTCTTATAATTGCGATCACAATTCAAGTGGGAGAGAGGGGGTTTTTTTTATTTTTATATTTTATTTTTATAGTATTTTGAATTTTATTGCGTTTACTTTAGGGACAAGGATAGTATCTCCCTGTACAGCTGTGCGGCATACAATTTGCCCGATGTGCTGTTTGTAAATTCCATACAGGTAAGAAATCGCTTCTGATTTTGTAAAATTTTTGTAAATGGACAGTGAAATCCCACCATAGGTTACGATAACTGCGGAAAGGTTGCCAGGTACATAGTGATTTTTTGGAAGCACAGATTTTACTTTACTTTACGAAACTAGCACGTGTCAGAGAAAGTCGAATCTGCCCACTAGCTTGTGAGCAACTCTCGAATGAAGAAGCCATCGACAGCCTTGTCCGTGGGTGTTCTCTTGGAATAATTCCGAACCACAGGGAGTGAATGCAGTGGAATGAGTGAAGGTTGATTTTTACGAGACAGTTGAAGAAGAATGTTAGATTTTTCCACATTAATTTCATGCAAAGGTCAGGTTTAGTATTGCCTCTGCTCTGGTGTTTTGTTAATCAGTTATGAAAGAAATGTGATTGGGGCAAATGCGTAGGCGG